ATGCGTCCTCTGGCGCAACGTTCATTATTTCCCGTAGCTCAGCTGGTGGGAATAAGGAACAGGGTCGAGCCAGATTCCGATCACACCAGTAAGTATAGCACGTCTACATAAAATGTTTGATGCTAATGTTACCTTTTGGATTATGGTTGGAGTTTGCAGTCACTGTGTCCGCGTTTGATCCGCCTCATACCTCCCATAAAGCGTAATCTCTTATGGGTCATGCACCAGTTATCAGTGTGTTTCCCTCGCAAGGCTTTTTATGTGGGGCGCTTCGAATTAAGCCATACAAATGGCCTCTCTTATTGTTATTTTTCTGTTGCATTTTTAGTGGACATATTAACCCATTTCTTTCTATCATCGTTATTTAGTCGCACGGCGACAGTTCAACAGCCCGTCATAGGCGTCTGGATTTCAAGCCAAGTCCAGCCATGCTCTTGCACGCACTCACCATGTCCTGTGCCAATGAGTTCATAAATTTGGAACGGTTGGAGACAATTGGTGACAGTTTTCTCAAATTCGTCAGCACTGTCTACCCCTTCCTCGCCTATCCCAACGCACACGAGGGCCTGTTGAGCCATATTCGTAGCCGCATCGTATGTTTGTTATTCATGTTACCCCTATTCTAATTTGTTCTCTCCATCCTAAAATGTAACGGCAATCCACCGATCTAACCGAAACCTCACATGAAAACTTTCCATCGATACTGTTAAACCTCTTCAAGTGCGAAGGACCAAATGTATTTGAATAATTCAAATGTAGTAGGCAAATCACTTTTGAAGTACATATGACCTTTCCTGCTCACCCGTCGTGGTTGCTCAAGAAATTCATCGTCAGATTATGTTTGTTAGTTTTTTTTTTGATGGACAGTGCTTTTTCGAGCGGTTAAACGATCTATTCAAGTGCGTCAAATTCTTAGTCAGCTAATCACTGCCTATAGCGCTTGTTAATTTATCGTTGTTGATATTGAGAAGGAAATCTGTTGCTCGAATTTTGCGTTGATGATGACATCGGGGTTCCTCATCGAAAACAGATCCGACGGTGGCAATGTAGTACCCCCACCGGACCCGGATCAGGTCCGTCATTCCCCCTCGACATCATGTTGGACACTTTTACCATTCCAACTGACTAGCCAGTCCCCGAACTCAATGCTGCACCGCCTTCGGATGTATTGTTGTCCATATCAATTCCTACCCCCACACCTATAGACCACAAACTGTCGTCAATACGTCGGACAAGCCGTGTACGCCGAACAATTCGGCCCATACAGGTCAACCCAAGCCATAAGCGGTACTGACCTGCTTGAAGGGGAAGTGTTGAAAATGCCTTCATTCCCGGGATGAGTTATCTCATCCCGTGAGCTGCCACACGGCCTGCCATGAGGGCGTGCGCCTGAACCGTAGCCAAACGTCTCCCGTCAGATCTGATTGGTCCGTCTGATGAGTCCGCGACGGATTTCAAAACGTCAAGCAAATTTCTAATCCCAGTGATCACATCTACTTCTTTTGATTGGTCCATGTCTCTTATAAGGCGTTCGGCTTTTTTCCACCAATCGGATGCAATAAATACACACAACCTTTTAGTGAGAATAACTTGCTGTTGTGAATACAATTTGCCCATGGCCGATTGTCTTCCCTTCCTCTCCTGTGTTGGCATTGAGGGCAACAG